TACACCAAAGATCACCACCTCCCAAGAGCACTAGAGCAAGTGAGGGGTCATTTAGACGTTAATTTCATCAAGTCCCTGTTAATATGGGAAGACACAGTGTCTATGCTTAAGGCACAACTCTCCTAAACACGAGAGTGAAGTATAGAACTTTAGAACACTTTCCCACCAGGAGACTCGAACCCTAGCCAGCACAGAAGCCTTCCAGCAACTGGCATAACAGGTACGCCTTAACCCGCTCCACCACCCGCTCAGACCCTTAAAAGAGATGGTAATTTCGGAGTATTTAAATACACCAAAGATCACCACCTCCCAAGAGCACTAGAGCAAGTGAGGGGTCATTTAGACGTTAATTTCATCAAGTCCCTGTTAATATGGGAAGACACAGTGTCTATGCTTAAGGCACAACTCTCCTAAACACGAGAGTGAAGTATAGAACTTTAGAACACTTTCCCACCAGGAGACTCGAACCCTAGCCAGCACAGAAGCCTTCCAGCAACTGGCATAACAGGTACGCCTTAACCCTCTCCACCACCTGCTCAGACCCTTAAAAGAGATGGTAATTTCGGAGTATTAAATGACCCCTCACTTGCTCTAGTGCTCTTGGGAGGTGGTGATCTTTGGTGTATTTAAATACTCCGAAATTACCATCTCTTTTAAGGGTCTGAGCAGGTGGTGGAGCGGGTTAAGGCGTACCTGTTATGCCAGTTGCTGGAAGGCTTCTGTGCTGGCTAGGGTTCGAGTCTCCTGGTGGGAAAGTGTTCTAAAGTTATATATATATATATATATATATATATATATATATATATATATATATATATATATATATACATATATATATATATATATATATATATATATATATATATATATATATATGTCGTACCTAGTAGCCAGAACGCACTTCTCAGCCTACTATGCAAGGCCCAATTTGCCTATTAAGCCAAGTTTTCATGAATTAATTGTTTTTCGACTACCTAACCTACCTAACCTAACCTAACCTAACTTTTTCGGCTACCTAACCTAACCTAACCTATAAAGATAGGTTAGGTTAGGTTAGGTAGGGTTGGTTAGGTTCGGCCATATATCTACGTTAATTTTAACTCCAATAAGAAAAAATTGACCTCATACGTAATGAAATGGGTAGCTTTATCATTTGATAAGAAAAAAATTAGAGAAAATATATTAATTCAGGAAAACTTGGCTTATTAGGCAAATCGGGCCTTGCATTGTAGGCAGAGAAGTGCGTTCTGGCTACTAGGTACGACATATATATATATATATATATATATATATATATATATATATATGTATATATGCGAACAAGCCTGAATGGTCCCCAGGACAATATGTTCTGGGGGGTGAGTTTTCATATGTATATATATATATATATATATATATGTCGTACCTAGTAGCCAGAACTCACTTCTCAGCCTACTATTCAAGGCCCGATTTGCCTAATAAGCCAAGTTTTCCTGAATTAATATATTTACTATAATTTTTTTCTTATGAAATGATAAAGCAACCCTTTTCTCTATGTATGAGGTCAATTTTTTTTTATTGGAGTTAAAATTAACGTAGATATATGACCGAACCTAACCAACCCTACCTAACCTAACCTAACCTATATTTATAGGTAAGGTTAGGTTAGGTAGCCAAAAAAAGCTAGGTTAGGTTAGGTTAGGTAGGTTAGGTAGACGAAAAAACATTAATTCATGAAAACTTGGCTTATTAGGCAAATCGGGCCTTGAATAGTAGGCTGAGAAGTGCGTTCTGGCTATTAGGTACGACATATATATATATATATATATATATATATATATATATATATATATATATATATATATATATATATACAAAACAATAAAAGGTCTGTTTTATTAAGAAAACAACAGATATTTCGGAGTCATTACTCCATCTTCAGTGTTAAAATATAGAAGAAATGCAATGACAGATTAGTTAAAAATATTAATATATATATTTCAACATTAAATATATTTATTTAAATAATTTTTACAAGGACTAAAAATTATATACAAAATGAAGTTCAAAGTTACATACAAGAATTAATAATAATAAACAACTCTCAACCACATACTTCAAGAACAGGCCAAATAGGGCGCAAACGACGGAATTGAGGACTCCGAGCCATTAAACCCTCGTTCGAGCTATTGAGACACTTTCCAATAAGTTGAGTTCTGAACGTGGCGACATCAGTACAGCGAAATTACTGTCAGTGAAAGGGTGGCCTATTTCCTTCCTGTGACCTCGATTAGCAAAGGCTGCAGCTCGCCTACGGGGGCTAACCAGAGCGGTAAGTGACACTCGTATGTTCGCAAGGGCCGTGATTACAGTTTACGTGAGGTATTTCCTACGTATCGAACATTACAATTCGAATAATTCAAAAGATAGACAACACCAGATCTGTCAAAATGTAAATGATTTCTACGTTTTTAATAGTTGTAATTGTTGGTAAGTAAATAGTGTAAATAGTGTAGTTGTT